ACCCCGACGCCCCCTGTCCCCCGCCCCACCCCAGGTCCCTCTGGCCTGCCTGCCAGGCCTCGCTCCTGCGCCTCCTCCGAAAGGCAGAAGAGGAGCTGGCTCGGCCCCCCATCGCCAGCGCCCAGGCCCCGGGCCCCTGCCGGGAGCCGATGGCCCTGGGGTCCCTGGGGCCCCTGGCCATGGCCCAGGGCTCCAAGAACACGCGGAGAGCAGCCAGCCCCAAGCGCCGCCTCCCTGAGCACCCCCAGGCGCCATCGCGGAGAAGACCCCGGAAGCAGCCGCACCCTCGCCAGGGCAGCGAGAAAGGCGATCCCGAGTTCAAAGGGGTGACTCTGAAGTTCCAGATGAACCCCGACTGCAGCCTCCGAATCTCACCTACCTACAGGTAGGACCAGGCCGAGAACGGCCCCCTTTTCCCAGTCACCCCTTAATAATCACAGGAGCCGCGCGCCCGTGGCTCACGCCTGTCATCCCAGCTACTCAGGAGGCTGAGCTCTGAGGATCGCGGTTCAAAGCCAGCCCGGGCAGGAAAGTCCGTGAGACTCTGATCTCCAATAAACCATCTGAAAACCGGAAGTGGCGCTGTGGCTCAAGTGATAGAGCGCTCACCTTGAGCTGAAGAGCAGAGGGGATAGCGGGGCTCAGGATTCCCAGAAACACTCAACATCCAGCAAGGTTCAAGTCTTCTAAACAAAATGGCTGCCAGGCACCGGTGACTCACACCTATAATCCAGGCTGCCTAGGAGATCTGAGGATTGAGGTTCAAAGCCAGCCTGGGCAAGAAAGACCTTCAGAGTCTTATCTCCGATTAACCACCCCAAAAAAAGCTGGAAACCGAGCTGCGGCTCAAGTGATAGAGCCCACCCTTGAGCAAAAAATCCAAGCAAGAGCAGGAGGAGAATCAAGCCCTGAGTTCAATCCCCAATTCCAGCATGCGCGTGTGCGCACACACACAGGATCAAATGGCATGGTGTTCGCACAAAAGCCCTCTAGACTTCATGGATTTTTGTTTTTTTGCCAGACTTGAACTCAGAGCCAGGGCACTGTCCCTGAGCTTCTTTGACTCAAGGTTAGCGCTCTACCACCTGAGCCACAGTGCCCTTTCTGGCTTTTTCTGTATATGGGGTACTGAGGGATCGAACCCTGGGCTTCGTACATGCAGAACAAGTACTCTACCACTAAGTCATATTCCCAGCCCTCTAGACTTCATGTTTGGAGACAGGATTTCACTGTGGAGGCCAGGCTGGCTTGAAACGAACTCTCCCTCCTCCTGTCCTAGCTTCTTAAGTGCTGAGATTATAGGCATGCTCCACTGTGCCCAGCCTTCTCATAGACTTTATTTTATTTTTTTTTTTTTTGTCAGTCATAGGGCTTGAACTCAGGACCTGGGCACTGTCCCTGAACAACTTTTTGCTCAAGGATAGCTCTATCACTTTGAGCCACAGCACCCCTTCTGGTTTTCTGGTAGTTAATTGGAGAGAAGAGTTTTGAACGGTGATCCTCAGATCTCAGCCTCCTGAGTAGCTGACAGGCGTGAGCCACTGGCGCCCCGCTTCAGTATTATTTTGTATGCTCAGGTGCACATAGGCATTGCGCCTTTGTGTTTCTCTCCTATGAATACCCTCCTTTGGTCTCTGTGTGTGTGATTGCCTGAAATTCTATTTTATCATGCCGAGGTGTATTTTAGATCTAGCTTCTGCATATGAGAGAAAACATGCACCATTTTTCTCTCTGAGCTTGGATTACCTCACATAACACAATTTCTTCTACGTCCATCCATTTCCCTGCAGGTGACCTCATGTTATTCTTTCTAGTGTAAAATCCCATTGTGTATACACATACCACATTTTTTGGGGTCCACTCATCTGTTCTAAGGCATCTGGGTTGTTCCCACAACTTGGCTCTTGTGAATAGTGCAGCAGTGAACATGGGTGTGCAAGTGTCTTCATGGTATCCTGGCTTGTGATGTTCAGGGTAGATGCCCAGGAGTGGTATGGCTGGGTTGTAGGGAAGGTCTATGCTTTGTTTTTTGAGGAACCTATACTTGGGTAACAGGCCATGGGGCCCAGTGAAGCCTCTGAACCCCATTTTACACCAGAGGAACCCAGAGCACAGAGCGGGAGCTGGCGGGGCCAGGGTCACACTGCAGAGATGGAAAATAGATGTGAGCTTTAAATAATACTTGTGTTTGTTTGGCTAAGCCAAGGTCTTGCCAGGTAGCCCAGGTTAGCCTCAAATTGTTTTTCCTCCTCTTCCTCTTTTTGAGGTTTGGGATTACAGGTATGTGCTACCATGCTTGTATCAATACTACTGGACTAGCAGAGCACAAAGCCTGACTTCTCGGGCTTCTGGAGTGCCTAGTGCCTGGATAATTATCTTCACTTTCAGGGGAGTAAGATGTGGATCCCCCCCCATACTAATGTTTTGTCTCTCCTGCAGCCTGGCCGGTACCAGCCTCGCTCAGAAACCCTTTCCCAACCCAGCCAGGGTCCCCGAGCCCAACCATGGTGGCAATGAGATCTTGGGTGAGTCCTACAGTGTGAGAGCTATAAATATTGGGGGGGGGACTTTCCCAGCTTCCATGTCTTTCTCCCTCCCCCCTTCTCCATGATGCTTCCTCATTTAGCCCAAACAGCACGTTCCGCCCCCCCCCTGGCTGAGTCACCCCACCCCCGGCTTCCTCCCTGCACAGCTCTGCCATCTGTCTCCCGTCCTGGCGCTCCCCACTTTCAATGTGACAACACCCAAGGCTGGCCCAGAGCTACCCAGCCCTTCACCGGAGACACCCCAGAAATTACCCTAACCCCGCCTGAGCCTCTTAATGCTCACTCTCTGACCTCTGACCCCTGACCCTGCAGAACCCCGGCGCTGTGCTTCCTGCAGAACCCAGAGGACCCCGCTGTGGAGAGATGCCGAGGACGGGACGCCGCTCTGCAACGCCTGTGGAATCAGGTCTCCCAGCCGGACACGGGGGCGGGGACCCCACATGGAATCTGCTTACCCAGGGCCAGGGGAGGGAGCAAAAAACCAGCCAAAAGCTGGGTGCTGGTGGCTCACGCCTGTAATCCTAGCTACTCAGGAGGCTGAGATCTGAGGATCGCGGCTCAAAGCCAGCCCGGGCAGGAGAGACCGTGAGACTCCTATCTCCAATAAACCACCAGAAAACCGGAAGTGGCGCTGTGGCTCAAGTGGTAGAGCGCTCGCCTTGAGCTGAAGAGCTGAAGGACAGCGCCCAGGCCCAGAGTTCAAGACCCACGACCGATTAAAAAAAAAAAAAAAAAACAGCCAAAAATGGTTTCTGGGAGGCGGCTTTCCGGCATCCTCAGTGGTGGTTTCAGCCAGGCGCCGTGGCTCACGCCTGTCATCCCAGCTACTCAGGAGGCTGGGATCTGAGGATCAAGATTCAAAGCCAGCCTGGGCAGGAAAGTCCCATGAGACTCTCATCTCCAGTAGACCAGCAAAGCTGGAAGGGAGCTGAGGCTCAAGTGGTGGAGTGCCAGCCTTGAGAGAAAAAACTCTGGGACTGCGCTCAAGCCCTGAGCTCAAGCCCTGAGTTCAAGCGCTCGCTCACTCACTCATTGAATGATGGTTTCTTTTCTCCCCCAACCCCCCAGATACAAGAAATATGGTACCCGTTGTTCCAGTTGCTGGCTGGTGCCCAGGAAAAGTGTCCAGGCCAAGCGTCTGTGTGGCAGGTGTGGGGTGTCCGTGGGATCCCATCCAGGCCCCACTCAGGAAACCTAAGTGTTTGTTCCGCCAGCTGAGTAGGTCCTGCCTCAGTTTCTCCGGGAGAAGAGAGGGCAGACCTCCTCAGAAGCCCGTCTGCTCTCAGTTACTTCCCACTCAAGTTCCCAAGTTGGAGAGCCCGGCCTCGGGGGGGCTGCAGGACCCCACGCTCCTCCCTTCTCAGTCCAGCCCTGCTGGGCGCCAAATAAAGGAAATGCCAGAGCAGAGGTGGTTCACTGTCGTCATTAACACAACCACCACGACGCAGCCCCACACAGACACAGCTCAGTGGACGTGTCAAAGGACATCCCCTGGTGTCAGGAAGAAGACAAACATCCCAGCCCTCTGGAGGCTCAGACAGGAGCATGAAATTTGAAGGCTCCGTCTGGGCTACCTAGGGAGATCCTGTGCCGCCCACCTGCAGTCCCAGCCACTCAGGAGGCTGAGCTCTGAAGGCCAAGGTTTTGAAGGCAGCCTAGGCAGACTACACTTGAGATTCTTATCTCCAGTGAGCAAAAAGCCGGAAATGGAGGTGTGGCTCAAGTGGTAGAGGAGCTGCCTGGCCATCACATTGCCCGGAGTTCAAGTCCCAGGATTGCAAAAAACTGTGTAAGGTGTGTCAGAGGAAGACATGTCCCTTTGCGGGGGGCCCAGGGCTGTGTGACCTTCCTGTCACTCCTGTGGGGAAGCTCTGGGACCACTTGCCATGTGGGGAGACGGCTCCAGTGTCACCTCCATAGGAAAGGCCTTCGCTCACCGGGCACCGGGGGCTCACGCCTGTCATCCGAGCTACTCAGGAAGCCTCGCTGACTTTCCTGCCAGGGCTGGCTTTGAACCTCAGATCTCAACCTCCTAAGGAGCTGGATGACAGGAATGAGCCACCAGTGCCCAGTGAGTACAGAGATTTTGAGGAGAGGACTCCTCAGTGAAAAGGTGAATGCAAAGGCCCTGGGGTGGGCTGGGTTTGGGCTTGCGGAAGCCTAGAGGGAGGAGGTAGGGGTGGAGAGACATATCATTTGTTTTTGTGTCTTCGTCCTTGGCACCCAGCACCATTTTGCCATCCTCAGATAGCAGCCAGCGAGGGGGGCGGGGCTGCCCGGGGCCACTTCCTGCTGCAGGAACCAGTGTTCCTGCTTTTCAGGGAACAGGGAGAAGGGGGGGCGCCCAGCTGCTCTCTCCTTCTGCTGTGGGGGGTGAGGGAGATGTGCCACCCTGGGGGCTGCTGCTCATCCGTTGTTTGTCTGCTTTTAATCATGAAGGGCCCAGCCAAACTTGGCTTGGGGGTAAACTGAGGCACTGGGGTGGACACATGTTGGAGAAGGCCTTGAGGGTGGGGGAGGGGGAAGCCCTTTTTTTTTCCTTGCAGTCCTGAGGCTTGAGGCCTGGGCGCTGTCCTGGAGTCTTTGACCTCAAGGCAGGTGCTCTACCTTTTGAGCCACAGCTTCACTTCTGGCTTTTTGGTGATTCGCTGGAGATAAAGGGTCTCACTGACTTTCCAGCCTGGGCTGGCTTCAAACTGTCATCCTTAGATCTTAGCTCCTGATGAAGTAGGATTACAGGCGTGAGCCACTGGACATGGCAGGAGGGACGTGGCTTAGTCATTCCTGTCTGGGGGGGGGGGTAGGGGGAGCCTGGGGGTTTGTCCATCCTGATGCTGCTCGTTATCTTGGCGAGGTGACCATGCCCTGCCAGTAACCTGGGAAGCACGTTAGCTGCCACCTCCAGGAAATCGGAGTCAGAGGGCAGTGTTGGGCAGGGAGGAGGAAGGCTGGAGTCCCCACCTCTCCCCAAGGGGCTACTGATTGCAGGAAATGGGGCACAAAACTGACAGGATGCAGGTCACACGACCCCCAGATAGCTCTCAACGTGCCTCATGCATACTAGGCCTCCAAAAAGTAGAACCTTTTTTGTTGTTGTTTGTGGAAGTACTAGAGCTTGAACTCTTTTGCTCATGGCTGGTGCTCTACCACTTGAGTCACACCTCTGCTTCCAGCTTTGTATCGGAGGTAAGAGTCTCACAGCCAGGTAATTGTGGCTCACGCCTGTAATCCTAGCCACTCAGGCAGCTGAGTTCTGAAGATTACAGTTCAAAGCCAGCCCAGGAAGGAAAGTCCATGGGACTCATGTCCAGTGAACCACCAGAAAACCAGAAGTGGTACTGTGGCTGAGTGGTAGAGCACTAGCCTTGGGCAGAAGAGCTCAGGGACAGCCGGGCACTGGTGGCTTACACCTGTCATCCTAGCTACTCAGGAGACTGAGATCTGAGGATCCTGGTTCAAAGCCAGCATCGGGAAGAAAGTCTGTGAGACTCATCTCCTATGAACCACTCAAAACCGGAAGTGGTGCTGTGGCTCAAGTGGTAGAGCTCTGGCTTTGATCTGAAGAGCTGAGGGACAGCGCCCAGGCCCAGACTTCCAGCCCAACGACAGACAGAAGAAGAAAATAAAGCACAGACTTTCCTACCTGGGTTGGCCTCGAACCTCCATCTTCAGATCTCAGCCTCCTGAGAGGCTAGGCTCACAGATGCGAGCCACTGGCGCCCAGCTGTTCTGTGTTCACTGAATTGACCTCAGGATTCCACCTCGTGGCAGAGAGAAGCAGAGATGGCCTCCAGACAATCCTTTATAAAAACTTTATTGGGGGATGGGTAGAAAATGGGGTGGTGAGGCCCCTGAAGTTGAATAAATACAATAAATAAGCCCCCCCACCATGTGCGTCTGGGGAGGGGGCGGCCCCCGGCCCGCGGGGAGAGGGGTGCAGGCTCAGGCCGACGTCAGCTGGATGGAGAAGACCTCGCCTCCCTCGGGGGACTCGGCCGCGCCCCCCTGCTCGGCGCCCCCGTCTGCGCCTGCGCCCCCGGCACCTGCGCCTGCGCCATTGAGACACACGGCCTCGCCCGAGCTCTCGGCCTCCTGCACGTTGTATTCGCCTTTCTTGCAGGCCGTGGACTGCACGTAGAAGGCCAGGCCGGCCCCCGCCGCCAGCAGCACCGCGCCCCCGGCCGCGCCCCCCACAGCGATCCACAGCCAGGGACCTGGGGGACGGGGAGTGGGGGGGACACCCTCACCGATCGGGGCTCCCCCCCCACCCGCCACTCTGAGCCACCCCATGCCGCGAGCTCGAGGGCAGGCCTCATGCACCTGCCATGGGAATATAAGTTGTTATTATTGGTGGTGTGTGTGTAGCCAGCTCCATTGGTGTTCTACCACTCGAGACAATGCCTCCAGCTTGACATTTTGCTGCTTAATTAGAAATAAGGGTTTTACGGGCCTTCCTGCTCGGGCTGGCTTTGAACTGTGATCCTCAGATCTCAGCCTCCTGAGTAGCTAGGATGACAGGCCGCGCGCCTGGCTGGGTCTCATCCTTGAGTGCGTGCAGGAGGCCCCGCCCTCACGTAGGCCCCACCCCGCTAAGACTCCGCCCTCTCCCTGGCCACGCCCCCTCGGCGGCCACGCCCC